TATGGTATTGAGGCATGAGCTCTTGACTTCTTATTTCATGAATACTCACAAGCAGACCTTTTTTTTTTTTTTTCTTCTGGGAGCAAATATTTTCAGCAATGAAGCTGGCTTCAGCAGAAAGTGTTTCTGCTGGCATCTGCAAGATCTTGCTGAGCTTCCACCAAGACTTTACTTGTTCATGCTCCACTGTCTGGGAAGCTTAGGGAGCCTTACATTTCTGTGGCTCACTGCTGACAGCTATGACTATCTGTTCAAATTCTCCTAATCCTAGTTAAACATTTGGAAAGGCTTATGAGAATGTAGAACATGTGTCTACACACATGCGTGCGATGACACATGGCACACGCAGAGCGGAGCAGTGTGTTTGGCTGCCCCCTTGACTCATGATAATGAGAGAACCTGGGGTCCTGAAGAAGCCAAGTTCTGAGTTGAGACGAGTTACCAGAGGAAGTGACGAGGCAGCAGCTGAACCCTGAGTAACTCAGCCAAACCTAGCCCTTCCTATAGTTCCCTTATGTCGCCGGAGTGCTATGGAGGAGTCATACGGGGAGCGGAATGGCCTCTCAGAATTCTTCTCGTGCTTGAGCAATGGAGAGCCACAGTGCGCATCTTCGTATGATCCATCCCCCCAGCCTCCGCTGTGTGCTCTTTGGGAAGCAGAAGAGAGCTTATGCCATATTGGTCAGCCCTCAGTCATTCTGGACTGCACCCCAGCTCAACAGTAAGCTGGGGTAGCTACTTGCTTTAGTTTACGTTGGGGACCACTTTGGCTTTCCAATTGGCCCAGAACCTCTCAGTTGGCCCAGAAGATGCAGAAACCAGCTACATCCGCCCATCCTTCTTGGAGCTTGTCTTCTGTGCTACATCTGCATCTCCTGAGATACACAGAATGTAAGCTGGCTCTACGTCTCTCCTTCAATTGCCACAGAATTTGAGATCCAGGATCTGGCTACAGATATTTCCTATTCTGTCTCCACCCTAGAAACATTAGGAGATGGGCTGAAGTGTTTTAGAATGAACTGCTCCTGAAACTTCTTATGGAGATGACCTTTCCAAGCTTTGGACTGGAGACTTTGGCGCTTCCCAGCTGACACAATTCTTCGGGAAACACAATATCATTTATTAATTTAGATCATTACCGGGGATGAGTCCCAATGCTACGGTATTTTAGTTTTTTTCTGCATATAGACTCTCAAAGCACAGACTTGAACGCGTATTCGAGATCCAGGGAGGTAACAGGGATTTCTCCTGTGCCGGGCTCCTTCCTCTGCGTGCAGCCAGGCCGGCTGCGACTAGGTGGCAGCACTCCACTGGGCAAACCTGCCTCTGCCTTCAGTACCAACTAACCATTTCAGCTCACAGAAAAGCCAGCTTGCATATTGCAATTTCTAGGAAAATAGAGGGTAAATAAAAGCCACCAAAGCCTCCTGAAGTCTTCTATCAGGGCTGTGCGGGACAGCCGGAAAGCTACAAGTGAACCGAGCTGTTCTTTTGCAATGAAATCCAGTACCACACAAAAATCGTCCTGGTTTGGACATCAAAAAGGGAAGAAAGCCAGAAAAAAATCTGTAAGAATCTCAGACTGTTCCTCCAGACAAAGCTCAGCTGCCTTAGAAGAGCTCACAGTTCCCACATTCACCTGGAACTGGAAGAAGTCTGGCAAGGCAGATGCAGCACAAATAACTCAACGAAGCTTTTGTCATTTTGGCTTAGTTTTGTCTCGAACACGATGAGATAACATCGTCTCTCACAAGTCAGTTTTATGAGGATCTGTCAACTCAGTTACCATCTGTTCTGGAAAATAAGCCTTTTCAGGTTAGGGTAGGATGTGGAGTCAAATCCACAGAGCACAGACTTAAATGAAAGTATTTGAAGCCCCTTGCTATGCCAGGTAGCGAGGGGAGGGTTTGCATTCGAGCTTCCATGTCAAGCTGGTTTCTGTTTCAAACCTTTCATTAACACTTATCATTTATAAAAGACAAAGTATGCACAGCAAAGAGGAGAAGAAGAAAGAAGCAATGCACTGTATGAGAATGCAGTCTATGCAACACTGGGGAGATAGAGCAGGTAGGAAGAAAAGCAGAGATTCATTAAATTAAAGGTATTCACTTATAACTACAAAATGTGAATAAAGTCTGGTAGGAGAAAGGAAGGCACTGCCTAATGTAGAAAAGGAGAATCAGAGCGTTAGAGTGGCACAACACAGGTCAGAGATCCCAAAGCTGATTTCTTACAGTGCTTGGAGTTGACCATTAGAGCTGGGGAAGATTGGGCTATGCACTCCGGTCTGTCTCTTTATGTACATAGATATACAATACTGTCATGGCTACTAAACATCCAACACTTGGAATTGTACCCTCCCCTACATGCTATTGAAAAACAAACATGTCTAACATTGAAGTCGATAGACCTGGGGCAGCTTCAACAGCTACATCCTGAGCTCTGGTCACCGGTGTCACAGCTTGCTGTGAGAGGTGTCTGCTCAGAGCTGCCACCCCCGCCTGGGAGCCGAGCGCCGAGCTTCACCTTACAGCTCTTTAAGAGATCAAGAGACTGTAAGTGGCAGCATTTGCACCAAAATTGCCAAGGTATTAACATTGATTTCTTTCAATAACAGTGACATATTCATAGCCTTATTTCATCACCCTCCTCAGAATCCTAAACGCTACACTAATGAAGAAATATCTGCTTCTGCCTGTGCTCTGCTGCTGTTGACGGTGAAGAACACACAGCTTGTCTCCTTAGGTATTGTTCACTGTTCTCATATTTAACTATTACTTACATTCACAAAGAATACAAAAAGCTTTTCATTAATCAATTATTAAGAGAGTCAGGCGCGATCTATAACTTCACAGACTGTGCTATATAGAAAAAGGATTCTTGTGATTTTTCCTCGAGTACCTCTCTCAGCCCTGTTTGCAGCAAGCATCTGACAGGAGGGAAGCTGTCTGGCTAGAGCAATGCCTTCCCTCTGCCCCAGAAATTTCTGCCCAGATTTAGCTGAGTTGGGAAGAGTTAAGGACTGTCACAGCCTTTTTTTTTTTCATTTGCATTCCTCATAAAATGTTGGCAATTTGCTGAAATCACTGAACATAACAAAGGCAAAGCCAGCCTAACAGCTCTGCCAAAGCAGCAGCTGCAGGTATTGGATAGAGGACACCTCTGAACTTTCAAAATGAGCTTTGGTAAGAACGTGTGTGTGTGCGGCGGAGAGGAGAGCTAGCTTCCCACCCCCAGCCCACTCCCAGTCCTAGCATCGCATCCTTCCCGGGGGGTAACATCTAACACGAGAGTTTTTCCGGCTCACACAGCCCTCCTAAACCCATTCTCTCCCAAAGGTGAACACAGCACCAAGCCACCTCTTTCTTAGCTTCCAAGAGAAAACAAGAGAAATATTTTCCTGAATTGCTGAAGTGATTGATGTCTGTGCTATGCTGGTGACAGCTTGAGGTTTCGAACCCCGCTGTGCGTGGAAGATTACTGGGTCGTTCTGAGCCAGACTCACCACATGCAGAAGAAAAAAACTGAGAAGGAACTGGGAACTGCCCTGTTCTACTCAATGGGTCTCTGCAAAACCGTGATGTCAGAGCAGCAGCATACACATTTTGGGGGGGCTAGCTAGGGTTAGCAATATCGCGACACCAGAGCTGATTCACAGTCTAGATATGCTTTGCTCCAGTATGATTAGGTGCCGGCACTATCCTGATATCTGAGACTTGAGCCCTGTGCTGGCCACCAGGCACGCAGCTTTGCTCATCTGCCATAGATCTGAGCAACAGAGAGCACCCATGGCTGGAAACAGGCTCACCGCCATCCTTGGAGCAAAGAAGAGCTGTTGGTGTGTGGGGCTGGGAATGCCTTTTGCTTTCAGAGAAGGAAGAGACGTGAATGAGAGGTGGGTCAGAAGTAGAGGGAGGAAGAAAGGGGGATGGAGAAAGAGAGGGGTCTCCAAACATCAAATTGCTCGTTGCTCTGAAGCCTTTGCAATGGGGTGAGGTTCTCCACAGGCACATCCTGACCCTCTAGCAAGATCAGGTTGCCTCAGGAGAAGAGGTTTGTAAGGAAAGATTGGGCTAGGCACCCCTGCCCCTTCTCCCAGAAAATAACTGCTTGACCAAAAATTTGAATCTAAGAGCAGTTGTTGTAGGTATCGTGATACTTTTTTGTTACCTGTCATGAAAGATTCAGATGGTATCACACATCACTAGCTTGGCCCCATATTCTCCATCCCATGTTCTGACATGCTGTCTGGGTTAGCATTGTCTTTTATACTAATAATGTCTTTTACAGCAGAACTCCCCGTGGGGGAAAGAAATCTTTGAAGCCACCCATTCAAATCTTCAAAGAAGGACCTTGAAGAGCACTCACAGAGAGAGTGGGGGAAAGTTTGGAACAGGGGATAATGCTATAAAGCTGGCTTTCCCCTTTTTCCATCCATACTTGTACCACTGTTGCGTTCCCACCTTTTGCAGCTATGTAAAGCTCCCTGAGTGCTGAAGAAAGCTTATCCATTCTTCCATCCTGTTGGAAATGTCTACCAGTTTCTTCAGAAAGTTGTGAACCAGAAATAACCCATTAACCTGCAATACAGATTGAGGGGGGGCAGATGAGGCGGGGGGGGGCTGCATGCTCCTATAGCATACAATTTTTAGGCATGTTTTTTCAAGCCAAATGCCTAACCTTTGCTAGCATACACCATTCTCAGCAGTTTGTAAGCCAAATGCCAAATCTTTGTTAATGTTTCACAGCAAAAGTCCCTAGGAAATGCCAATTTATATCGCTAAAGAATGTGGTAAAAGCTGGTAGATTTTAGTTGTGGAACCATGCTATTTAGAGAAATAATAAATCAGTCAAGAAGACATGTTTTCTCCCCTTGAGCAGACGCTTTTTCTTTCATTTCCGCTGTGACATATTCCACAACCCACACAATCATTAAGTCACTAGGTTTTTACAAGAACTTCTGTGGTGAAAGCAAAAAATTCCATCAAAACCCGACGATACAAAGCTGTGTGCATGTCCTGTGGCTGCTCATTACTGACCCTGATTAAGAGTGGTGCACTGCTCCCCACGTTTCGTTCTAAATGGAAACTGCCGAGTTCTATTACGTTTATTACTTAGCTCAAGATTATCTGCAATATGTGCTTCAGGAATCACACCTCGGACCAGCCCAAACCAGGGTTGCTCACGTCTTGCGAAATATTGCATCTTCACTGCAAGATCAAACCGAGGAGGCTCTCAGACCATTCTTGGACAGGATTGATATTACCTCTGTAGCTGTTGCCAAGAGAATTTTCAATGGTGTCATGGAAGAAAAATTTGCTGATGGAAATACTAACTGGGGACGAATTATGACCATATTTACGTTTGGAGGTCTTCTCACTAAGAAGCTTCAAGAGCACGGAGTTCAGCTGACTGGAGAGGAGAAGGAGCAGATTTCTTATTTCATCACAGAGTACATAATTAACAACAAAGCCGAATGGATAGATGCGAACGGTGGCTGGGTAAGTTTCTCATTTTCCACCAAAGTCTAGATTAGGAGATTTTGTTTAATTAAGGAGAACTATTGTTTCAGACACTGTCAAAATCATTTTATTCAGTGTTTTATTTGGTGGTTTAATATTCGATGTCTGGAATGTCTCCTTGAGACTTACAGTGAAAGCTTTGCTTCTGCTTTAAATAGAACAATCCTAAAAGACAACTTTCTTTTTTAAAAGGCACTTTCTGTACCTGTAACAGTCGAAACCCTAGAGTTAGTCTCGAATCATAGAATCACAGGATAATTCAGCTTGAGAGGGACCTGAGGAAATCATCTGGTCCAGCCTCCTGCTCAAAGCAGGTTAAACAATGCATGCCGCTAAATTTCCCATTATTAAATCTAAAATTAAGTGGCATCCTAAGGTTAGTGCAGCAATTTTGCTTCCATAGAGGAGTTGGTCCAAAAATACTAAAGTTCAAAGTAAAGGGAAGAATATACAGGTGTGATCCTCACAGCTGAAGTCAGTACTTTTGCTGTGGATTTCAACAAAGCCATTCTTTAACCCCCCAAATCAGTTTTACTTAAACAAATTTACAGGTAAGTGCAATTGGGGTTAAATTTTTTTCTGCTTGTTTGGACTGAGATAATCCTAGAACTTCCATATACCGATGGTCAATGCTGAGAAAATCATTTGTCAATAATATGTGGATTATTTTGCCAAGCTGCTGAAATTCCCTTCTTCTGCCAGTGGAGGAGAGGTCCCTTCTGCTTTGCAGAGTTTCATCACACCAATACCTTTTTCTTTTGCAGTTAGGGGAAACTGAGAATCAATGGCATCAGAGTTGTCAGATTTATTTCCCTGATGCTTTTTTCCTTCACCTATATGTAAATGTTACTTTCTCTTTCCACCCCTCTCTCGTTCCACTTCTATTTCCTATTTGCTATTACTTTTTTTCCCTCACTTGTTTTCTAGTGTCTTTCTTTTCCTTTCTTCTCTTTTTGCTTGCTTTGGTCCTTCTCTGTCTGGTAACAGTAAAAGAAGGTGACAGTGAGTCATGGACCCCTGATGCATCAGATTTATTGTAAAGGCTTCTTTTTCCATCTCTTTCAAATGGAGTCAATTTTATTTAAGAGAAGTATCAATTCCTGGCAACTTTCTGTCATAATACACGGCTCATTGTAGTAGAATAAGGAGGCTTAAAGGAAGATATTTATAAGTGTATTACTACATCACAAACACAGTACTTGTATCTTCTTTAAGATGTGGGCTCAGATGATACAGTTCACATCCATGTTCTATTTACACAGCAAGGGCAGAGTCTTGACTTGGAGATAAAACAAACGTTCAGCAAGGTGCAGCTATTTTCAGCTGCTGTTTTTAAAGCCCTGTTCATCTTTTGGAGGGAGAGCTCGGAAAACCTGTCCCTCTATGCACAATGGTGTAGCACTCTCTTAATCTGATACTAGCACAGAGTGGTGTGGTTTTCCTACACGCTATTTTTAAGCTGTCCCTAACCGTGCATGTTCTTCTCCACAGGAAAATGGCTTCCTAACGAAGTTTGAAAGAAGATCACTACTATCTTTCTCCAAAATTACAGCCATGTTCATAGCTCTTTTTTCCTTGTTCAGAGAGTACTACTGAAATAAACGGACCTGCCATTCATGTGTAATCTAGATATTGCCACAAGCTTCATTGCTAAGCTTTCCTCCAAGCAATATCAACAAGAAAATAATATTCTTCCATAATTTGTTTTTAATTTATTTGTATTTATTTTTACTAAATACAATGTTTAACATGCTATCCTAATTGCCAAACCTGAAGATGAGATCCCTCCAAAGAGGAATTGACACAACATCATGCAGCAATTCAAGTCACCCTTTCCAGGCAGGACTGCTTCGAGAGAGAGATCATCCTCCACATCCAGACAGCTCTTGGGATATCTGTTGCACCTCCATGAAAGGACATTGTTTTACTGAAATACAATCCAATGGGTTAAGAAACAAGTTTTAATGTCATTTGTTTTGTAAATGAAATACTACTGTAATGCATTTTATTGCAACCTTTGTATAAGGAAAAGGGGGGGGGGGGGATGTCTGTGAAGAAGAAGGAAATGCAAATTCCAGTGTAAAAGTGGGTACAAGTTACTGACACAGACTAAGCAATTTTTATGGGAAGAACAATTTGTGGAAGCTAGCAACTTAAAAATGTGCACTCACTTACTGTTATTGCAATGGTACGTGTTTCTTTGTTGTATTTTTTTAATTGCTCATATCTACAGTGAATGTTCTTTCAAATTTGTGCAATGTAGTCATCTGGCTGAACTTTTTTTTAAACTAGATGTTTTAAAATAGACAAGTACAAAATATTTTTCAAACGAGAAATTTGTGTAAATACACTAATATTTTTGAAAAATACATTAAAATATGTATTTTAAAGTCTTACGATTGGTCTCATTTCTTTCAGAAAAATTGGAGGATGGGAAAAGATCTACCTGAGTAAGATAACTCTCAGAAAAGCTATCACAGTGCTACTGGAGAATCCAAGCAGTATATGTGTTTGACCTGAAGTTCATGGATGTCAAGACTTCAATTTTCTGTAGTACTTCTCAAGTATTATCTGGTAGCTCGTATAAGAAACAGACAGCTTGTGGCAAAATAAATGAACTGGATCAGCTCTGATGACAGTAATTAGTGTTTTGGGATACACTGCAAACTCAGCAAATTCACAAGTAGGACCTAACAGATTTCCAGGCTTTTATAGTCTGGGGCAACTACAGTTTTGACTCAAATTCCATTTGCTTTCAAACGTTAAACAGTAGTTCTTCAAGAATTCATTCTAGAAGGGTTTTCTTTAGCTGTAATGACTTTCCTACATTAGGGAACTAAAGCTGGGCCTAAACACTCTTCTTTTGTAGACGCATTGGGAGGCGAACCAAACTGAGGCAGCAGTGGGCCTGTGGCACACAACAGCATTATTCTGGGAGACAAATCCTCTGACAATCAAGGCTTTATGATCCTGGGAGAATGAACCAGCGTCCTTCTGGTAATGGGTTCTCCATCCTTCATCTCAATGTAAGAAATTTTTTACAGTAAGAACAATTATTTACTGGAACAACCGCTCAGGGACATGGTAGAGTCCCCATCGCTGGAGGTTTTCAAGATGCGACTGAACAGACTGCTAGATAGCGTCATCTAGGCTCCCTTTCCCATGAAAGGATGGGCCAGGTGATCTTTTGAGGTCCCTTCCAACCTGGGTCCTTCTATGATTCTATGCTTTAACTTGGTGGGTTTAACTACAGAACGCAAACAGGTGTTAACATTTGCTAGAACCTGTATTGCGCCCGCTCCCTCTCCCTCCCCAATGAAAACAAGGATTATTTAGCACGTATAGCAGGACTTCTGAGATAAACTGTGCTGCTGTTGACGAGGAGATGGCAGCTTCCCATGGGCAGGGGGCTGCTGAAGGAAAATGCCCACCCCCAGAACACCTATGGAAGTTCCTGTCAGAAATGAGATTTTAAAACAAATTTTGACATATATTTATTTATTTGCAGTCTATGTCTTCATGATCAGAACAGTAATTCTCACTTAGTTCCTTTTTGTGCACTGTTGTAAGCACATATTGTAGTGGCTAATGCCAGTCTATTAATACCACGTTCACTTCCTTCTACACTAATCTAGTGACCTATTTTATACTGGGGAGTACAGTTTTTTAATTAAATATAAGAGGCTAACCTAGCCTTTCCAAAATCTCGGTGATGCAATAACTTTAGAACTTGCCTTCATGGTAAGGCCTGGGTTTAAACAAAAGAAGCCTGGATCATTAATGGTCCAGTGAGGTAGAGATTACCTTCACCAGGACAAAACCTCCATTTGCTCTGCATTTAAGAGCAAGAAAAGCAGTGATGAGATATACCACCCGGATAATAAACATAATAAAATGTCTGAAAACAACAGGGCTATTAGCTAAGTCTTATAAAATAGTGTAGATATGCTTTGTTAACTGTCATGCAGTTATCTATACATGACACTGTTTGAGTAGTGTCCCAGGGCACTACGGTTTAAGGGATCTTTACAGCTGTCAGGCCATACACAGGAGAACACAACACCGTTTCTAGAGCAAAAGATGAGGTCAAAGAGCTGCAGAGCGGGACAGCTGATGACTTAATCAATGCGCACAGCAGCTAAATTGAGATGTCACTAAGTACCACGTACAACAGATTTATGGAAGCGAGTATTCTCCTATAGAACCATCCCTTTCTCCACTTAAGGACGGGTTGGACCATTAAATGTGCCAAAACGAAGCCTCCAGCGTCTCCCTGCCCGGGCTGCGAGGCCGATGGCGTCCCGGGCGGCGCGGCTGTGCCGCAGTGCCCGTGTGCTTCTGTCCACAACACCTCCCTCACGGCCCAGGCCCACCGGTGGATGCCAGAGGGATATGAAACCCTCTGGCAGACGGTGGTAACAGTATCCCGCCGAAATGTAACTTGCCTTTCTACAGCAAAACCAGGAAAGTGGAAATTCTTTGTAATCTACGCCAGACGAAAAAATAAAGATGGGCCTTGCCCAGGGGCTGGCAGGGCCTCGGCTGGCCCTCCAGCACCCTCACGGGTGGCGGTGGCTGGAGCCGCGTGGAGATGGCGGCCACCCAGGCCTCACAGCAGCGACCCCGCGGCCG